TTCTGATAATTCTTCATTTTGATAATCTTCTTTAGATATTATTTTTATATCATCTTCAGACATTATATTTCTTCATCTGTTTCATTATTATGTAGATTAATATTTTCTTCTTCATTTTCAGTTTCTATATCTGATACTTCATATATACTATCGTTTTCACTTAATTCATAGTCTATATATTCTATTTGCATATATTCAACATTATCTATGATTATTTTTGCAATCTGTTTTCTTTTTGGATCTTTGGGTAATTTACAATCTCTAGCTAAATGTCCTATCTTTCCGCAATTATAACAAGTACATTGGGATATTTTTCTTTTTGGTCTATATGGTCTTTTTATTTTATAATTTTTTATATAGTATCTTCGTCTTGGTTTTTTATATTTATACTTGGTTTTAGTTTTTCTATAATTTTTATATTGTCTAGGTTTTTGCTTTTTATAATATTTATTTGTACATCCAAACTGTGGTGCTGTTTTATTTTTACAACATGCTAAATTTTTAATTAGTACTTTCTCCATTTTTAATTTTTCTTTCTGATTTTCACATAGTTGTACAAACCATTGATGTAAGAATTTTATTCTAGCTCCTAAAGTATCTACTAATCCTTCATCATTCCAATCTTTAATTATTTTTGTGCTAAATGGTTCTGGTAATTTTGTAAAATATTGTAGTCTTATTTCTCTTGCTTCATTTATATCGTATTTTGCTTTGTAGTAATATTCTTTAAATGCACATGTATATTCTTCTATGTAACACATTTTACATATAGCTAATTTTGTCATAAGTTGTCTATTTATTATTTTTTCTCTGTTTTGTTCTCTTATATCTTTGGTCATACCTCCAAATTCATTTCTTATTGCTGATTCATATTTATCTAGTATATCTATATTTGATGTTGATGGAGATCCATCCATTTTCTTATCACTTCTAAGTACTTCTAAACTTTCTGGGGGTAAATTTTCTATCCATAATTTTGTTATTCCTACAAATGTTCTTTCTATATATTTCGGCGTTTCTCTCGCTGTTATTTTATTATCAATCAGTTGTTTAGATATATTCCCTATCCATATTAATATTGCTTTATTTATATCTGTAACACAATCTAGATCTAAGAAATTATATTGTTCAGTTATTGGTTTAGGTATCCATTTTTTATTTAATCTGCTATTCCATATTGCATTTGCTCTGTCTGATTGTTCATAATTTTCTGTATAATAAGTTGGTGGTGTCCATTTAGGACTATTTCTAGGACTATTATCTGGGGTTTTAACTCCTGATGTGCTAGGTTTATTCATATCTCCTGTGTTTATTTCTAATTTTTTTGTTTATTTACTTGTTCTAGGATTTCTGTGTATATTTCACTTATATCACTTATTTCTGAATTTTGATCATTTATCCTATCTGATTCGTTTAGTTCATCTATTTCATTTACTTCAAGGTTTTCCTTTAATTTTTGTTTTCTATCATTTATTTCATTAGTTAACTCGAATTCTTTTTCTTTTTGTTTTTCTTTTTGTTTAATTTCATATAATAATTTTAACTTAGTTAATTCTTGTTCTAATTCATTTATCCTTGTATTTTTTATTTCTTCTAAATGTTGTACTTCTTGTTTTGCTTGTATTTTTATTTTTTCAATTTCTTTTGATTTATCTATTTCTTCATTTTCTTTTGTTATTCTTATCATAGCTGTTAAACTATCTTCTAATTTTGTTGTTTCTTTTTCTAACATTAAATATAAATTATTTCCTATTTTTTTATATCGTCTTCCTAGGTTTGAAAATATTATTTTTATCATTAATCCATCTTGATTTTCATATGTCTTTTCATCTATTGCAAACTCTTCTTTATTCATTATAATTTATAATTTATGTTATGTTGTAATTTATATTCAAGGTGATCTATTTGTATTTCTAACATAAATATAACTTTTCTTTGTGCTAATATTGATTTATTACATACTTCTGCTAACATGTTTTCTGTTAATCTTTCTTTCCTATGTTGTAGTTCTTGTCTTTTTTCATCTATTTTTTCTATCAATTGTTGCTTGTATATTTCTTTGTTCATATTATTTTGTTTAGATAACAAATATATTTATATTCCGTTTTTGAAATTATATTTATCAAATGATTTGTCTTATCATTACTTGTCTTAGTGAGTTGTGATAGTTCATATTCTATGTATAAAGGTTTTAACTTTTTCCATATCTTTCGTACTTTTCTATCTATCCTGGTTTTTGTTATTTTAGTTTCTTTACCTAGTGTTGTATTATTCTTCATGTCTTTAAGAAAATATTTTTTCTATTAGCCTTTGTCTATGTTCTATTTTTTTTCCATTTATATTTTTCTGTACAAAATTTTAAAAAGTTTACTTAATTTGCTTGGATCTTTAATAAATTTTATCTTATAAATACTATTACTTCATTTTTGTCAAATTTCAAACCTTTTTGGTTCAATCATTCTTTTATAATTCTAATTCTTTTTTATCATATAGATCTATGTTTTCTTTAGTTTTTACCCAATATTGTAAGTACATATAATTTATCATTGATCTCTTAATATTTCTAGATCATCATAAGTCTATGTCAAAATTATTATCATAAAAATCATCTTGTATAACTAATTTAGCTCAACCTTGAATTGTTACTTCTATTATCTCATATGTTTATAATATATCATAAATTGTTCTTTTTATATATGTATTAAGACCTTTTAATATATAGAATATTAATATCTTGTAATTAATATCATCATCTAATAAATAGGAGTTCATTTTATTCATTTTTTCGCTAAAAAAATTTATTCCTTCCAACCTCTTAGTAGATTATACTTATTTATTATGTAATAATAATGATTTAATAATCATCTCGTCTGGTCACTACTACAGTTTTATTCTTTGATCAGTTACCCTAATAGCGCCTCAACTTTATATAAAAAATTGTATTTAAATGACGTCCATTATTTATGGTCATAACCTCAAGAGGAAAGACTATTGGTGACCTTTTTGCTACTGATATCTTTTTTTGTTTTGTTGGTTCAATTTGTTTACAAAATTGAGTAAAGGAAAAAAATAATACTACTAAAAAATGTAACTTTCTTCCCATATTTAAATTTGGAATGTTTTTGAAATGTTTCTACGATATCTGGTCATTTTTTTCTCAAAAAATAATAAACTTTATGATAATATATATTAATTATTTAAAAGAACTTGTCTAATGTTCTTTCAATTATAATTATTAACTAAAAAACCCTTAACATAGAGTTTGATGCATACGCCACATCGAGAGGACCCAATATACCTTGCCAAAGGTATAGAGACATAACAGTGGTGTGATCATTAAAATTTATGCCCAACCGAAAGGACTTATAAGCCTATGTGGGCACGTAGTTTTGGGACGTAAGGGTACGCTAAACGCTAGTCCAACTAGGTGCTAAGTCTACTCCCTGTTGAATAAGAAAAGCTCAAAATGCACTCAAATACTAAGTAGCTCAAAATACTTGATATGTTATCTTAGAATGCAACATATATATACTAAAGATATGACATTCAAAATTTGAAGCATGATTTTCTGCCTGATTTTTTTTGCGAGTATAATTCATGAAGTATGATAAATTTACACAAACAAGGATTCTGAGTTCTATGAATGCAACTACACTTATTACCAAGAAATAGATTATTCAGATCATGGAAACTATAACAACTAAAATCCCAATAAATCTTCAAAATATGGAAACCTTAGGTTTGAACAGTTTATGAGAAACCACAGAATTAAGTGAATGCTAGGGATCTAATGGGTAAAAAAAACTCACTAGTGAAATCTCAAGTACCTCGTGATGAAAAATATGGAGAAATTCTTAGAATTTCGGGACCCAACTTGAAGAAACCTCTGTTTGTTGTTGGGAGAAAATGTCGCCTCTTTCAATTCTTTTCTTTCTAACTTTGATGATTTTAGAAGAACGAGAGTTTTACGTAGTCTCTGACTAGTTTACAGAGATTAGATTGAGTAAACGATGTAGTTTATGTACCAAACACATAGGGGAAAAGACCAATGCGACCCTAACTTAAATGATGTTGAAGTGACTTCAAACAGGCTTCACGAGCCGTCTAGAGCCCCATGGCCCATCAAGTGGATTTTGAAGATGCTTAGCCCAACATGACTTCACTAAAACGAGCAAATCGTTTTACTCCGGGCTCGGCAAACTTGGTGGTGTTGAAAAGAAGAATCAAAAGACCTTTAATTTGATAGGTCGTGGGTCACCCAAGTCATTTTGTGTTGAAATATATGATTATTTGAAGTTGACTCAAACCTCGAATTCCATCAAGCCTCTTTCACGATCCACTTCACGGCTCGTGTGAAGCTCCATGGACCATGTAGTGATCAATGGTCCTTCACAATAGCCATGGTGGTTATGTGTCCCCTTCACAGACCACTTACGGCCCATGTAGAGCTCTACCACTATAAAAGAAAGTGTGAATTATATTATGATTTTCGTGGAGATTAGTATGAAAATACGTAGTAAACTTATTTTCTATAAATTTTCATATTAATTCTCAGGAAAATAACCATGTAATTCATGATTTTCTTGTAGTATACGAAGCGTTTAATTGTTTGTGGTTTTTCCCCTTTTGTTGGGTGCACAACCACAAGTGGTGGACCCCTCCATGATTTGTCCTTCTCTCTTGTTTTATCTTAGTTCTGATTTTTGAGATGTTACATAGGATAACAATCATGTCAGGTTCAGTGGCATGGATAACGGTTAAACGGAATTTGTGGTTCAAACCATAAACGATAAGGGTAGTTTTAATTTAAAATATAAACGAAGGATAAATTTGAGCTATTTTGAATAGTTCAATGATATTTTTGACTTTTTTCTGTTTTCTTTTCCTACTTACACTGGTTAGTGAATATATACATAATTAAGGAGATTCCGGAAATTCTCCATAGTTCATTTTTATATGTATGTTTGACAATCAGTTATTTAACAATTTTGCCACATAAATTAAAATGAAGAAAGTCTAAAAAGATTTTATTATTGAGGCAATAATAAGTCAAGATACAACCCACAAATTGGAAGGAACCAAAGCTTCTTATTCATGAATGAATAACAAGCTCGATTCAAACCTAGGTACAAATTATATAGGAATTGTAAATTAATTAAAAGCTCTTATTTTGGTGGATATTCAAAGTAGTATAAGTAGGGACTCTCTCATCTTATTTTGGTGGAAATTAACAACTCTTATTAAGCATTGATTTTGAAAGCCTCCAATGCTGCGTGGTATACTGCTCTGTTTTTGAAGTAATGTGGCAAAAACTCAGTGCCCCATTTGAAGGGTTTGAACAGTGGCGGATTCTCCGGACCAACAAATGATTTTGCTGGCTCGACCACATTTGCTGGACAAAAATAAGTACCGATGGCGGTACGTGCTTGAGTTTTATTTGTCACCACTCGATGTGCAACACTTTTCAACTTTCCATTGGTCATTACCTGTATTATGAAGTCAAGTTAAATGACACATTACGTTTATGTATATTGTCATAAATGAATGTTAAAAGAAATATTACCGTTATTGGGAAACCAAAATTAACAACAAATGCATGTGGTAGAGGTTCCACACCAATCCATTCATCATTCTTGAGTATTTGAAGGCCATATACTTGTTGTTGGCAAATGGTTATGAGATTAGGATCACAATGTCCACCAGTTCCCAAAGTTGAACTTGGATCTGGGCATATTGGATAGTGATTGACAAACATTCTCTGCCCATGACCTTTGCCAAAGTACCCAGCCTCCAAGCCTAGTCCTTCGCTTACCAAATCGAAGATTATCATGCTCAACTTTCTAACTTCAGAAGAATATGCACCAATAACCTCCCTGAAAGTTCATTCTCATATTTAACTTTCACAGAAAATCCATCTACAAATCGGCTATCATTTCATCTACTAATTTATGATTGAGATATAGTTAGGTACCTAAATGTTGGAGGGTTACTTGGCCAAGTTTGTTTATCTTGTCCATCAATATTGCAGTTGTGTTCCAAGACTTCCTTCCAGTATTTATGCTCCTTTGAAGCATGATGCTTGGGATTGTTGGTGTAGAGTGTTTCTTCTTTTTCTGCATAATTTTCTTTCTCTTTCACTGGCAAATTGAAAAACTCTTCGTAGACTTCCATTGCCTCGTCCATTAAATCATCCGGTATCCCGTGATTAATTACCTGTGTCATTATTCTATTGTCTTCAGTTTGAATTCATCTTATTTGTGACTTGGCACGAATTTTAAGAAAATAAAGAATATTCTCAATCTTGTGATGCTAGAATAATGTTATGTCTATTGTACGAAAATATCATTTAATTTCGTACTCCTAAACATGTCATGTGCAAAACTGTAATTAAAGTATTAAGTATTGTCAAAAAGGAAAGGAATCATTTTCTTAAACAGACTAAAAAGGAATACTATTAGCATGAAACATATTATGAACCTGAAAAAAGCCATATTGTTCCAATGCTTTCACAAGTTGTTGAGCGGCAACAGCTCGTTCTTCGCCCAAATCAATTACTGGAATTTCTTTGTCAATGGGAACTGGAGCTAGTGGCCTTTCATGCATTGGTAAGACATAAGTTGGAGTAACTGCATTTAATTTACTAGAGATCATGTGGTTTGCCATATATTATTCTTCTTTGAATGAATCTCTTTTTGTTTGTGTTCCTACATGAGATGAAGGACTATTTATAGGGAGAGAATTGCACATCACATCCTTTAAGTGTTTGATAAGTTACTTTAACCTACCCAATGTTTCATAAATGATTGGCAATCCAACTATTAGAAAATCAAACACTAGTCTATGGACCAGGTGATATATTGTTGGTTTCTATCCCAACCTAACTGTGTTGAGATTTTGCCATATACATGAAGAAATTTGGTGAATTCTACGGATAGCAATAGAGCAGGGCGGGTACAAGACAGGGCAGAGCAATATTAATGTTGTGAAATTATTCTTACATGACTCCAACTGTAAAATTTTCGTTGTTAGAACTTAGAAGTGTATCGACTTCACTACTTTTCACATGTTTATGTTTTCCTATTTTCTCAAAGATGGGAAAGATAAAAAGTTGAACTAAAAATATAAACAGTTATAAGGAATTAAACGGAATAATGCAAAAAAAAAGTTTGAAGAGAAAAAAGCATAAACAAGGCAGGATGGGGCTGGGCAGAGTAAAATTTAATTGCCCCCCCCCCCTCTTCCGTGCTATATACATCGCTGGTGTTGGTGTTAGGGTACTGACTTTTTAACTCGGTAGATGGAATCGGAGGGGAAAATAGTTGGCATGTATGACTTTGTCATGGGCCTAGGTGCAGGATGAATTAAACATGTGGGTAGTGTGGTGGCATTGCCAAGTTGTAAATAAGCAAGGTCGGCAGACTGTTTGCCATCGCTTGGGATGGGCCTAGACGATGTTTGGTAGTGGCCAGTGCCAAGGTTGATTCAAATCTGGGCAAGTCAAGATGAGTTAATGGCAAGGAGAAGTAAATGCAAAGCAAAATAAGAAGAAAGATAAGGAATAGCACAAGTTAAACAATAGTTAGCAAGGCCAAGAAAGACGCTGGGAAGGCATTATTAGTGGCATGACAGTGTGATGTGCGACTAAGTTCTAGTCGACAGTGGCCTTGGCTCCAACCTTAGGTGCGACGTAGGTCCTTTGGGTGCGAATACAACACGCACTTTTCGTGCACATGGGGCAGTTTTCTGTATGTAATTTCTTGTGGGAAGATTCCTTTATTCTTGTGGCACCTTTGTATTTTCAAATTTTGAATCGCCTTTGCAATTGTGGATGTCAATTGAACTTTAACTTTGATTGGATTTGACTATGACAAATGTCGACAGGCTATTGGTTGTAAGACAAAGGTGTCATATGTGTTATAAATGTACAACTTTGTGTCACGGCCTTAGACTTCAACTAAGCACACCGTACAGTTCTTGACAAGTCGCTCAAAAATCTTTCACAATCTTACAAGCTCAAGTAAGCCTTTATGACACTAGAGCGCTAAGGGAATGAAGAAAGACATGACAGAATTGCTTAAGATGGTTTTGTTTCCTCAAACTTGGAAGATTTGCTTGGTTGTTGCTTGGTTATTTTACAAATGAGTGTCCTCTATTTATACTAATTACTTGGGGGATAACATATCAATAATAATTGTTACAAAAGTTCCTACATATTTACAGTCATTTTTCTAGAATTTTCTACACAACTAGAAGATTCTAAAGATCTCTCTTGCAGATATGTGGAATTCTAGGATCTACCATGGGAATCCTCCGATCCATATGTCTCTAGAACATTCAACTATGGACTAGCCTTCTTCTGATGTAAGGCTTCCACGTGGATAACTTTATGACATATGGTGTCTATGTGGTATGATGACTTGGGGGTCATGACACTCGCAATGACTGCGTGCATTGTTGATGCATGAACTTTCCAGATCTTGTTTTTCATCCTGAGCAACCAATAGTTCATAGACTCAATCAATGCCCTTGTGCAACCCTTCACCAAGTGACCAGCCTACAACGTGTCATGACTTTCCTACATGATCTTCTGCCTAATAGTTTCAAACTTGGACACGTAGACCCTCCGAGAAGCTGTGAGCAATAGTCCCTCTTCTACCAATAAATGTCTCATTTTTCTTGGGAAGCTAATTGTATATGTCGGTTTGCTTCTCGGTTATGTTGGATAAGATCCTTGATACCATCACGAATTTCGTAAAGGGGTTAGGGTGTAGCGGACAACTCGATCTTATGATATACCTTGTGCCTAGGATGTAAGTGCCTTGGCAAACTCTTCATGCATCATATCTTTGAGTTGGAATTAATGCATCAATGTTTAGTTTTCCGAAATTGTCTCTTAGTTTTTCAACAAGTCTCTTTAGAATTTCGTAGTACATGTATCTAGTAAATTATGATACAAGTATTTAGTTATTTGTGCAAGACTTTTGCTTTCTATTTTGAGTAGTATAAATAGTGATGTAGTTGATGATTGTAATCGTCTCAATTGGCCTTAAGTGGTTTATAATAAACTTGAGCATTCTCTAAAGATACTATTTTTCTTCCATATTTCCTACAAATTGGTATCAGAAGCAGATTTTCGTTCTTAATCTGGGGTTAGGTGAAGAAAAAAATATAACATCCAAAACAAATGAAGGTGCTGATTCTTCAGTTTTACTTACACAATTTTTTGATGGAACTGATTTGGAATACTGGAAGATAAGAATGAGAACACATTTGAAAGCTGAAGGTTTGTGGATTATTGTTGCAAATGGCTTTGAAGGGCTAGACAACGATGGTGATCTTACAACATCTAGAGATGAAAAATCTTGAGGCTAAGTATCGTCAAGATGCAAGAGCCTTGAGCAAAATCAAAATGGGAGTCTCAAGAGCATATTTTGCAAAAATTGCTACTTGTGAGACTGCAAAGGAAACTTGAGATTCTCTGGAAAATGAGGTATATGGTGACGAAAAGTAATGCACTATAAATCTTCAAACTCATAGAAGAGAGTTTCAAAATATAAAGATGATAGGATCTGAAAAAATTGATGTATATTGCACAAGAGTCATGAATATTGTTAATGAAATTAGAAATGATAGTGGTACAATTTCTGACCAACAAGTTGTGGAAAAGATTCTAATCAGTGTCACAGGAAAATATGAGTGCATTGTTGTTATCATCGAGGAGACAAAACATCTTTCTAAGCTTTTCATCAAAGATCTTGTTGGATCATTTCGTGCACACGAGAAGCGAAGATTTTTTCGTGAAGATAAACCCAAAGAGACGACTTTTCATTCTAAAACAAATGAGAATTCTCAAAATTTCTCAAAAAATCAATAGAAGAAGAATCACAAGCCAAAAAGAAGGATCAAGATGGTTGTTCCAAGAAGGTTGAAGAAAAATGTGAGAAAAACTCTAGTCTTTTTTTGTAAAGTTCGCAAAAAGACTAATCACAATGCAGAAAAATGTTAGCACAAAGACAAGCCCCAATGTAACTTTTGTAAAAAGTTTGGCCACGTTCAAAAGGATGGATGGCACAAGAAACGGAAGCAAGTAAATTTTTTGTGAAAAATAGGAGAAAGGAAGGAAGAAAACATTTTCTTTGCTTCTAAATCTGATGATGTAACAAAAAACAACGAATGGCATGTGTAGTGATTGTAGTAATCACATGACTGGAGATGAAAAGGCTTTCCTCTCAATTAATAATAGCATCACTACTAAAGTGATAATGGAAAATGAGTCTTAGTTGATGCAAAAGGTAAATGCACTATTTCGATCAACATGAAAGGAAGCGGTAAGCAAATTCATGATGTTCTTTATGTTCCTGACTTGAAAAAAAATTTGCGTAGTGTTGGTCAACTCATGGAAAATAATAATTCTCTTGGGTTTAGAGATAATTATTGCAGGATTTATGATAAAATTGAGTCAAATCAAGTCATTGTTGAAGTGAAGATGATAAAAAGAAACTTCCCTTTGCAATGTCATTGCAATACATTAAAAATGAAATTGTAGATGATTCATGAATTTGACGCAAAAGATTTTGTCACTTGAATTTTCATGGTTTGAAGCTTCTCAAGCAAAAAAACATGGTGCAGGGCCTTCCTGAAATACATACTGAGGTGGATCCATGTGAAAGTTGTATAATGGGAAAGAAACATAGGAAGTCTTTTCCAAAAGGGGTGTCTTGGAGAGCAAGTGTACTTTTGGAACTAATCCATACCAACATTTGCAGACCAATGAAGACTCCATCTCTTGGAAATCGAAGGTATTTGCTAATCCTTATTGATGATTTCTCAAGAATGACTTGGGTTTATTTGTTGAAAGAAAAGTCAGAAGCATTAGCTACATTCAAGAAACTTAAAGCCCTTGTTGAGAAGCAAAAGGGTTGTAGCATCAAAACCATTCACAGTGATAGAGGAGGTGAATACATAAGTTGAGAATTTGAAGAATATTGCAAAAATGAATGCATTCAGAAGCAATTTACAGCAGCGTATACTCCTCAACAAAATGGTGTATCTGAAACAAGAAATAGAACAATTGTTGAAATGATCAGAACTATGATTAATGAGAAAGGACTGCTAAAATATTTTTAGGCAGAAGCAGTGCATACAGTAGTTCACATCCTTAACAAGTGTCCAATAAAGGAACTTCAGGACAAGACACCAGTTGAAGCTTGAATCGGAATTAAACCTTATGTAAGTCATTTGAAAATTTTCGGTTGAATCTGTTATGCTCATGTACCTGCTGAGAAAAGAATTAAATTGGACGAAAAAAGTCAAAAATGTATCTTTCTTAGTATAGTAATGTGACAAAAGGAAATAGGCTTCTCGATGTTGAAACTAAAACTTGTTGTTTGTACAGATGTCATTTTTTATGGAAAAATAACATGAAATTGGGAGGATAAAAAGATAGAGAATACTGCTATCTATCTTCAAATCAAGAAGAGGATGAGAAACATGAAAATGTCTCTCAAGGGGGAGAAATCCCAAATTCAGATGATGAAGAACCGCCTCTAGGAGGAACAAAAATGTTGAGTGACATTTATCAAAGATGTAACTTTGTTGGTGTTGAGCCAGAAAATTATGAAGAAGCAATAAAGTATGATGTTTGGAAGAAAGTCATGCAAGAAGAAATTCAGATGATTGAAAAAAAAATACATGGGAGCTTGTGGC